GGAGTCTTCTAATCTACGGTCAAGCACGCAAGAAAGCATCTTAACCTCTACTATCTCTCTGTCCAGTATTTTATTTTACATGTTCATGTAACCGTGTTTATTGCTAGTACCTATAAATACAATTATACTAGCAATGCTTCTGTATGCTTGACATGGATCCTGAAACCTCCTGAAATCATTTATTAGTATTCAAGTTCTATTAATAGATCCCAGGGTGGGGGTGGGGTGGGCAGTGGATATGGCTCAGCAGGAGGGCACCTGACTTGCATGTGTGAAGTGAAGCCCTCCGTTTGATCTCTGGCTGTACACACACACACACACACACACACACACACACACACACACACACACACACACCCCTACCTACAGAAATCCAAGAGGCTTTTTACACAGACAACACAGAAGGACAGTTTTGTTTCTCCCTTTTCTTCTATATGCCTTTTTTTTTTTAACCTTACTCACCGTAATGACTTACTGAACTTTCCAGAACTTACAGCACCATTCTGGAAAAAAGTAACCATGCTTGGTCTCTTCACAATCTAGGAAGAACGAATTCTCTTTTTTGCCATTAAATTAAAAGTTAGCTATGGGGTTTTGTATATTCTCTTCATCAAGATGAGGAAGCTCCCCTCTATTCATGTTTATCAGGCAGTCTGTATTACAAAGTAGACCTTACATTCCTTTTATGATCAAAATTGTTCTTTCCTATTAAAAGACCAGTACACAGTTAAAATCATTTCTTCCCTCATTTTTTGTCCTTTTTTCCCCTTCATTGTTAACTACTAACTACATCTAGGATTATTTTGGTATTTAATGTGTGGTTCTCCTGCTATTGAAATAATGCTGGTATGGAAATCTCACACCAAACCAAACATATGAAGCACCGATTTCCAAATATTCCACAACAGGTGGTGCACCTAAGAAAGGAAAACAGAGCCTAGTAGTCCCACTGAGTTGGAAAGAGAGACTGATCACATAGTATTCGGGGAAGCCCAAGTGGCTGGAATTCATGGAAATATGACTGGAAATAAAGGGGCATCATAAAGAAAGAACTCCAGTGATCTGTAGAGATAATATTTAATGGTTTGGGCTGAGTTCTTACCTGTACATATATGGGACAGAACTATAGCAGGCCAGCAAAGTTCAGAAGGAATCAGGATGAAAATTTCATGAAGCTGCTGAGTGAAATGAGTCAGATATAGAATGACTACATTCATTTGTGGTATATAAAAAATATATATATAGTAGAAGACTAATATCCATGACCAAGGTAAACAGGGGTTAGGAGGATTGGTCAGTGGTTGGATCTAACCACAAGTGTGTGTATGTGTGTGTGTGTGTGTGTGTGTGTGTGTGTGTGTTGGGGGGGTGCTAAGGGCAGGTAAGAAGGGCCATTGCCAGATATGGACCCCTAACAAAAATAGATGAGGATAGTATGTGTAAGAGGTGAGAAATGAAAAGGAAAAAAAGTGATCCAAATTAACGTTTTAGAAAGAACAATAAAATATCTGAAATTGAAAGTACAGTCAATAAAATTAATGGTAGAGTATATGGACTGGAGAGATTATACAATGGATAGGGCACTTGCCTTGCACACAGTCAACCTGGGTTTGATTCCTGGCACCAATCTAATACTCTGAACACCACCAGGTGTGATCCTTGAGCTCAGAATCAGGAGTAAGCCCTCAGCACTGCAGACTACAGTCCCAAATCTTCGCCCACAAAAAGGGAAGTAAACTACATATAAACTACATACTACAGAATAACAGAGCAATACTTTTATTTATTGAAGAATAACAGAGTAATACTTTTATATGTTGCAGAATAAAAGAAGAGTAAATTTGAAAACAGCAAGAAATGCTACCCCAAATTATGCTTGATGAGAAAAAAGACTGACAAATAAATGAACAGACCCATGTTTGGGTAAATCAGTATCAAAAAGAATGAGAGAGTTCTAGAATAGTAACAAAATTACATTTAAAAATAGGTGAAAGATCAAAGCTTCTACTTTCAAACAGGAGATAGAGAATGACAAATTAAATTAGAGACAAATTAAACCAGAAAAAAACAAAACAAAACAAAACCCTAAAGAACACAATCAATCAACTATGTAGGAAAAGCGGGGGGGGGGGGGGGTGTGGAAGAAACCAAAATATGAATCTCCGAAAAGATACACTATTGATTAACCTCTGGTGAGTCAGATCAGGTAAAAAAATATTAGAGCAGAAGAACAAACTACCAGTATCAAGAACTGAACAAGGCACATCCCTACAGTTTTTACATATAATAAACGAGAGATAAGGGGACTTAACTGTATATCTTACAGTTATAATAAATATGACACTGGAGAGATAGTACAGTTGGTAGGGTGCTTGCCTTACATGTGACTGATCTGGTTTTGATCCCCAGCATCCCAAATGAACCCTGAGCCCCGCCAAGAGTATAATTCCTGAGTGCAGAGCCAGGAGTAGCACCTAAGCACCACCGGTGTGATCCAAAAAACTTCTTTTTTTAACTTAAAAAAAGGCAATTTGTATAAAATACATAAATTCTACAACTATACAAACTATCAAAGCTCACTCAAGAAGAAACAGATAACTTGAAGAGCACTGTATCTGTTACCCATGGAAAAATGTAAGTCTGTCATGGAAAAAAGCTTTAAGCCCAGATGGTAAAACTGAGATGGTACAACTGGCAAATTCCATCTAATATTTAAGTCAGAAATAACAGCAACTCTACACAAACTATTCTAGAAAACAGGAGGAACATATCCCATTGCATCTTATGAGTTCAGCATTACCCTAAAACTGAAATCAAAAACTATATAGGAATGTAAAATCATAGGCCAATATTCTTCATGAAATCAGAAAAAGGGGGCAGGGGTGTCTCTGGGCGGTGGAATGCACACTCTGCATGTGGGAGGCCCTGGGACCAATTCCCGGCATGGAGAAATAAAAGGGCAAGGGGAGGGAAAGGGAAAGGAACCTGACTGACTCTAGTCCTGTGCAAAAGCATAACAAAGTCATGTTTATCCCAAGAATGCAAAGTTGTTTAAACATTCAAAAATCAATGCAATTTACCATGCTAAGTAAAACAGAAAATATGATCTCAGTTGATTAACTGAATGCATTTTTTCAAAAATCCAATATCCATTTGTGATTAAGTGCACTCAGCAAAGTTAAGCTAAAAGAAAGCTTCCCTGGTCTGAAAAAGGGCATCCATGAAAAGCCAGCAGCCTGCGCAGCAGACAAGGGTGTGGCCCCCAGGGAGCACTGGCACCAAAACCCCCAGTCACAGCAGCAGCAATGAAAGGGAGGGAGGAAGGGAAAAACCCTGCAGTGCACATCGCACTAATGAAGAGCATTTGCATGGTTCCCCCCACAGGGACGGGAGAACAGAGGATGCCTGCTCTCACTTTTACTCAGTAATGTGATGGAGGCCAATGCAAGAAGAGTAATAAACACAGATCAGGAAGGAATATGTAAGAATCAACAATTTTAAATACGAATATAAAGAAGAGGCTGCTAAAATCTCAGGGCTGGGAGGAATAGAGACGTTATTGGCACCCGCTTGAGTAATTTGATGGTCAATGATATAGAAATGAAATATAGGATGGGGTTTGGGGGGGGCAGGAGAAAAAAGGAAGCAGACACTTATGAAGAGATTGGTGTTGGAACACAGTATGACTGAAATTCAATCATAAACAACTCTGTATCTCACGGTAATTCAATAAAAACAAAACAAAAAACTGCAGAGATGACTGGATGGTCATACGCAGAAAGATCAGACTCTAGCCTCATACCATCTACAAAACTCATCTCAAATAGGATCAGAGACCCAAACGAAAGAGCTAAAATGATGAGACATTTGATAGAAAACATAAAGTTTTTACAAGGTAAATATTTGTGGGGCTAGAGCAATAGCACAGCGGGTAGGGCGTTTGCCTTGCACGCAGCCAACATGGCTGACCCGAGTTCGATTCCTCCACCCCTCTTGGAGAGCCCAGCAAGCTACCGAGAGTATCTCGCCCGCACAGCAAAGCCTGGCAAGCAACTCGTGACGTGTTTGATATGCCAAACACAGTAAGAAGTGTCACAATAGAGGCGTTACTCACAATGGAGATGTTACTGGGCCCGCTTGAGCAAATCGATGAACAATGGGAGGGCAGTGACAGTGAAATATTTGTGACCTTGGTTAAGTAATGAAAAGTTCGCCCTTCCTTTCCTCCGCTGACACTGTTGCTCGCAGGGATAGGGCCACACGTGCTTGCTGTGTCACACACCCATAAACTACTTATGTATTTGTAAAAAAACATGTTAAAACTGTAAGTTGATTAAACTACTACTGGGATGGGCTGCAGAGAATATGGTGGTTAAACAACACCCAAAAGGAGAGAGAGAACACAAGGGATTGCCCTGCCACAGAGGCAGGGTGGGACGGGAGGGGTGGGGGTGGGAGGGATATTATCCATGGTGGTAGAAAATGGGCACTGGTGGAGGGATGGGTATTTGATCATTGTATAATAGAAACCCAAGCACAAAAAATTGTAAATCTACAACTGTACCTCATGGTGTTTCACTAATAATAATAATAAAAAAAAAGTTTCAAAAAAAAAAGAATATGGTGGTTAAGGTGGCTGCTGGGTGTGTGGCTGATCTGGGTTCTAAAATCTGGGGGATTGGGGAGGTAGTAAATAACACGGGTCATGCACCCAACCCTAGTTCGACTCCCAGTCTCACACAGCCCCCACTGAGCATCAGCAGGGGTAGCTCTGAGGCTGTCAAACACCCCTGGGTTGGTTCTGAGGGCCACCTGTGCACAGGGACCAGCAGGTGCACACTCGTGCCCTAGAACTGAATGAACAGCAAGCCGGGTTGGCCTGGAACTGCCATGAGTGACCTAACTCTTGAGCACCTTTTGGGAGCCCTTCCCCAACCACAGAGACCTCTAAGCTCAGGGATGGCGGCAAACTAAAAAAAGCTAAGGAGAAGGCTGTTTACCTTCCCAGTCCTCCATGTAAGGGGCCTCCTCGGCTTCTTTCTCTGGAGTGACTCGGTCAATGAATTTTCCTTCTTTCATCACCCTGGTGATTTCTCGGAGCTGATGCAGCAACCGTTTTTCTTGGTCAGAGGTCACAGCCTGTGCTCTGCTTAGAAGGATCAGACAATCCAGTCAGTGAGTGGTAACACGCCCAGGCCACGAACATAACCCCCACCACAGTCTGTCTGGATGCTAGTCTTTGCTTTTTGGGTCACACCCGGTGATGCTCAGGGGTCTATTCCTGGCTCTGCACTCAGGAATCACTCCTGGCAGTGCTCAGATGACCAGCTGCAGGCAAGGCAAACACCCTACCCACTAAACTTATCACTCCAATCCCTGGATGCTCATCTTTTTTTAAAAAAAACAAAAACAAAACAATTCTATTTATTTATTTTTTGGCTTTTGGGGTCACACTCAGTGATGCTCAGGGGTGACTCGTGGCTCTGCACTCAGGAATCACTACTGGCGTTGCTTAGGGGACCATATGGGATGCTGGGGATCGAACCCGGGTTGGCCACGTGCAAGGCAAACGCCCTATCCACTGTACTAACGCTCCAGCCCCTGGATGCTTGTCTTAAGACAGCAAATAAGTGTCTAAGAACGATCCTGGAACTACATGGCTAGGAAATGAAAATGTTAATTCATTATTTTTTATTTTACTTTTCCTCTGGGGATGGGATGAACCCCCAGTTTTGGGGCCACACCTAAGTGTGCTCAGAGCTTACTCCTGACTCTGAAATTATGGATCATTCCTGGAGGTGCTCAGGGAACCAAATGTGATGCAGAGGAGCAACACGCAAAGCCTGGCAAGATCCCTGTGGCATATTCGGTATGCCAAAAACAGTAACAACAAGTCTTACAATGGAGACGTTACTGGTGCCCGCTCAAGCAAATCAATGAACAACGGGAGGACAGTGACTTACCAGCTGTATTATCTGACTTCTTTAAATGTTAATTTTAGGGGTCTCCTTGGGTGGGGAACAGCACAGCACACACTCGGGATAACTTCATTTATTGTCCAAGGAGATCACTCCAGGTGGTGCTCAGAGGATGAGGAGGTAGCAGGGATAGAACCTGGGCCTCTGATATGCAAAGCATGCACTACAGTCTGTTGATCTATCTGTCCAGCCCACTGATTTTATTTTAAAGTAAAATAATTATGGATTGGAGAGAGAGTACCACTGGTAAGATACTTAACACGTTGTAATCCGTTCCCAGCACCACATATGGTCCCCTAAAGCCCACCAGCAGTGATCCCTGAGAAGAGATTCAAGAGTAACCGCAGCCATGTGTGGCCCAAAAGCCAAAAAAAAAAAACCCAAAAAAACCCAAAAGTGAAAAAATGTCACCCCAGGATTGGGGTTTTGGGGGGTGTGCAGAGAGATATCCCAACAAGCTGCTAGAGCAGATGCCACTGTTTGCAGGACATCTGGGCTCGACCCCCAACACAGCAGGATTCTCCCCCACGCCTCCCCAGCACCAGAAGAGGGAATAACACCCAGTATGCCTGAGTGTGGGCGAAAAACAACTAAAATCAAATTAAACACGGGAACACTAAGGCGCTGTAGATCGGATGACTGCCTGAGGCCTCACAGTCAAGCAGTGTCAATCCGAGGCCCAAACCCGAGTGTCTCGCTCTCAGTCCAGGCCCGTCCCAGGATACTGCACAACCCAGAGTCGCAAACCTCCAGACAAGGTCATTGTTACTCACGCTACTCCGCTGACACTAAGCCACTTTTCTTTTTATTTTGCTGAAGCAAGATAAAATTTGTTGAAACTGACTTGGAGGTGAGGGGAGAGAAAGTGAGGAAGTTAAGAGTTCAAGAGAGAACCTGGGCTTCAGCAGAGTGGAAAAAGCAGAGAGACATTAACACAATCAAGCGAGATGGATGTTCCGTGGAGAACTGGGCTTGTAGAGCGAGCCTGTAAGTCACTTTTCTTGAAGCAAGGCTATCGAAAGAAAAGGTGCTCTGCCATTAGCCTCAACTAGCCAAAAATCCTAGAACCATCAGGCTTAATCTGTGAAGAAATAAAGACACCAGGAAATATATCTTTAAACTTCAGAGCTGGATCATTCTGACCAAAAACTAAAACCAGAGAAATTGAAGAAACAGAGGCCCACTGAGGCGAAACTAGACACTCATCCTGGGGGCCACTAGTAGTTACTGAGCACTCAGTGTCGATGACGCTGCACTCTTGTGATCTTATCACTGTGCTCCAGCAATACCATACTGCGACGAGATAAAAAGGAATCCACTGAGATAATCATTGCAACAAAAGCAGGAGATTTAAAGAAGAACATAATGAAATCTCTGATATAAATACTGAGTACATTAATTCCAAGTTAAGACACTTCATTTGGAAGCTTCGTTCATCTATTTCTGCTTCTCTTAACCACATCACCTCTCTTTTTTTTTTCTTTTTGGATCACAGCTGGCAAGGCACAGGAGTTACTCCTGGCTCTTTCACTCAGGAATTACTCCTGGCGGTGCTCGGGGGACCAAATGGGATGCTGGGAATCAAACCTAGGTCAACTGCGTGCGAGGCAAACGCCCTACCCGCTGTGCTATTAATGCTCCAGCCCCATTACCTCTCTTTTAATGAAGGATTTTGTCCCTGAGTTGGGACACAAGAGAATCAAGATAGCTGCATTTAGTACAGAGCAGATGGCACTAAGTTCAGCCCAGACCAGTAACATGTGCCACACAAGGTAAGAGCTTGTGATGAACATGTAAGGTAGCCTAGCTGTCCCGGAAACTTCCCGCAAAAAGGGCTGCTGTAATAGTAAGAATCTGGGATAATGTGGCAAAGGAGAGACTTCTGCACTGATGGGAAGGAAGGGGCTGCAAGAGACCTGATAAATGTCAGATGTGCAGCAGACAGGCTCGTGGCGACAAGGCCAGTGACTGTAAAGAAAAGGGAGCTCATGATTCTGTTTCTGTCCCACTGAGATCTGGGGAAATGTCCCATCTTCCTTTTCCTTGATTACCATCACACTACTGGGAAAAGAACAACTTTTTTTTCTATTAGTCCTTGGGGCTAAATTTTATTACAATATACATAAGAAGAAAACAGATGGGGGACAGCATGATTAGAAATATAAATGGCTGGTACAGAAAGTATCATTTTTCTTCATGACTGTTACGTTGACTTTGAATGCCTGGTCCCTGAGTGCAGAGCCAGGGGCAATCCTGGAGCACTGATGAGTGGGGCCCAGAATCAAAACACAGAAAACTAGTTATTTCATCCTGCAGGACCTTCTCATAAACTTACTCACTTAGAGCAATGTGGACAGCATTAAACATGCATCCTGAGGCTGAGACTCCAGAAAGGACACAAGTGGAAACATTAGATGAGAAGCATGTGAGCAGAAAGCTGACAATCTGAAACCAAGTGACTCAGAATAAAAGAAAAGCATTTTAAAATAGTAACTTGAACGGGAAATAAGCTGAGTCCTGTTATGTGAAACTTACCTCTCCCCATTAGATCCCACTCTGCTGATTAGTTTTTCCATGGCTTCCTCTGTCTCCTTCAGTTTTTCCTGCAGTTGAGCGAGCTCAAAATTGGCTGGAAAAATAAATAAAAGCTTCAATGTAAAAAGCATGATACACAACACTGTAGGCTCTTTTCTGAAAAAGAGCTGGCTGTGATAGTACAAGAAGACCATCACAATCTGTCCCACTAACCAGTCAGGACAAAAAAAGGGACGTGATGAGTGCTTGAGAACAGATGAATAGATAAAGAAACTATGGCACATCTACACAATCTACACACAGCTGTTAGTAAAAATGAAGTCATGAAACTTGCCTATAAATGGATGAACTTGGAGAGTATCATGCTGAGTGAAATGAGTCAGAAGGAGAGGGACAGACATAGAATCACTGTGTGTGTGTATGTATATATATGTATATATGTATATATATACACACATACATACATACATATGTATACAACACACATATATACACACACACACACACAAAGACTAATATACAAGGCCAGGAAAAACAGGAGCTAGGAGGACTGGTCAATGGTTGGAATCAACCACAAGTGTGTGTGGGGCAGAGGGTAGGTAAGATAGAAAAAGGACCAGTATGACAATAACAGCTGGAAATGATCACACTGGTTTAAAGTAGTTAAATGTTTAATGTAGTTAAAGTGATATATCTGATAACCTTTCAGTATCTGTAGCATCTGTATTGCAAACCACAATGCCCAAAAGTGGGGAGAGGAGAAGGGGGAGGAAGAGAAAGAGAGAGAGAGAAAGAGAGAGAGAGAAAGAGAGAGAGAGAGAGAGCGCGCACATGCCAGGCTGGAGGGGTAGGGGGTAATATGAGGGAAACTGGGGACACTGATGCTGGGAAATGTACACTGGTGGAGGGATGGGTGTTGGAACACTGTATGAAACCTAATCTTGAACAGCTTTGTAAAAAGAGTCTATCTTACAGAGATTCAATAAAAAATTTTTAAAAATTTAAAAAGGGAGGTGAGATCTGGGCACCAAGATCTGAAAGAGACATAGTTCATTTAGTGCAAGATGAATAAATCACTCTCCTTGCACACAAAATACAGCAGGAGCAACCAATGAACAGACTTGGGAATGATGAAATACCCCTAACTACGTAGTCACTCTACAAAAATGAAGAAAATAAACAAATCCTTTTCTAATCCGAATCAGGCTTCAGGGTAAAGGATAAAAACCTAGAGGATATGTGAGAAAAGGAGTGTTAAACCCTGGGATGAGGGGCTGGGGGAGTATTCAGAAGACTGGAGCACACACGCGCCTGTCCCGGGTTCACTCCCCTGTACCATGTGGCTCCCTCAGCATTGTGGGTTATCCCTGGGGACCCCTGAGCACTGATGATGTGGCACTGGTTTCAAGCCCCATACCACAGTGTCCAAGCAGGGACCCACCAGGCCCCCGGGGCCAGGCTGAGTATCACTGGGAGTGGTTCCAAGCTCCCCAAGCATCATTTGGGAAGCATACACAAAAAATGGGGGGGGGGGGACAGGGAAAGATCCTAAGATGAGCAGTATTTCAACTGCAGTAAAGGTCTCAAGGTGGAGCTAGAAGGTAATAGCTTAAGTGTTGGCGATCCTTCAGCCAGGGAAGCCTGGAGAGTGTGTGTGTGTTGGGGGTTGGGGGCGGAGAGGAGCTTTCCCCACCCAGGGTTTTCTGTCCTGGGGTCACCTGGGGTGAACTGGTCTAACTCTGTCTCCCGGAGGAAATTTTCTCCACAAGAGTAAAGAGCACATCTTCTGAGTGGAACTAAAATTAAAACCCTAAGACAAACAGAAGAAAGACCACTCCATCAGGGCAGAAAATGAACTTTACGGGGAGAGGAGAGTAAGATTCTAATCCCCGTGTAGTTCTCATACCTGAGCACTCTAATCTCACCCAGACATCTTCAGGGGTCACTGCAAAACGGCATTTTCAAATGGCTCTTAGTACTTATAGAAAACTAAGCCACAGAAAAGCTCAGGTTACTTTCCTTTTCGGGCATGACTCAATATTAAATAATCAAGAGTGCAGGTATGTGAGCCCAATTCAATTCTCAGCACCACATGCCTCCTCAGCATAGCTGGGCACAGTCCTGGTGGCCGTCAAGACTCTCTGGGGGGCCCTGGAGGTCCCACAGGGCCTGAGCAGCACCAATACTGGGGCATTCATTCACATTGGCAAGTTGGTTGGGCATCACTCAGAGTGGCCCTCAGGTATCCTCAACACTGCTCAGAGAGCAAAAACAAAAATGTGATGTGACTGTTACTACATTATGGAATACCTGTTCTGAGAACTTCCCTTTGCTCTGTTTTGAATGAATTCTGTGACAGGATATAGAATCTGTGCTTCATCAGAGTCCACAGACCTTTAGCAGATATTTTACTGATGCATTTAGCATCACTGTTGGCTAAACACTATTTCTATTATAAACGGTAGCCTTCTTAAAAGTATTTCTTGAAAAATTTAAGATTTCCCAATTAAGAATCAGAATATGACTGGGATACCTAATTCCATAGATAATCCAGGAGTAAATTAAAAAAATTGTTTTGGTCAAGAACAGAGAGATTAGTGGTACATTCTCAACTCATTTTGCTGATGTCTTTCTGCTTTTTCAGTCTTTTTGGCCTATATCCTACAGTGGTTGGGGGCCTCTCTTGACTCAGTGTTTAGAGGTTGAGGTCACTCCTGGTGAGGCTTGAAGTACCTTTTTTATTTATTTATTTTTTTGGCTTTTTGGATCACACCTGGCGATGTACATGGGTTACTCCTGGCTCTACACTCAGGAATTACTCCTGGTGGTGCTCAGGGGACCATATGGGATGCTGGGAATCAAACCTGGGTCGACTGCGTGCAAGGCAAATGCCCTACCCGCTGTGCTATCGCTACAGCCCCTGTAGTACCATATTTTGCCAGAGCTTGAACTCGCCAGCTCCTACAGAGTCTATTGTACTCTCTCTCTGAAGATGTCTTTCTATTTAAAAACAACAACAACTAAAAATCTCTAATGATACTTCATTATCCAAGGATAGAGTAGTTTGGGCCCAGCGCCTTCACCAAGACACCATGAGCTACCTTCTCTGAAAGGACGATACCTCTTTCCCACAGCAGCCCTGTGTCAGTCTGCTTCTTACTCAGGCCATTCTAGCGCTCTGCCATGCCCTCCTCCACAGACCCCCAGCTGGTGTCTAACAAGTTCCTTCTCTCGGAGCAGTAAACTTTCCATGCATTACTTTTCCTGACAGCCATCCTAGAGGATATAAATCCCTAGGTGAAAGGGGTAGGCCATGCACATTCTGCTTCCCCAGAGAGCGCAGAATATTCTAGTTGTCCAATATATTTATATGTTGTTGATGACTATGTTTTAAGAGTAGAAGCTTTAAACACTATCCTTAGATCCAGTAAGTGATGTGGCCATGATCTGTGTTTTTCTACCTCAGTTTTCCCTTCCTGAGATAGTGCTAGCAATATCGTGAAAACTAAATAAGAAGTGTGAATTTATTGATATATTAAAAAGTGAACTGATGCTCTTGTGCCTTTCTTTCTTTGCCTGAAAGGCACAGCATCTGTATGGACACTTCAAAAACTCCCCTAACTAAGGTAAAAATGGTATCAGCTTTAACTCGAGACAACTCTGAGGCATGTGTCCTATATATATTCAGACTATTCCTCCGCCTGTGTCACAGTTGAACTAAAACGTGTTAATGCGTAACTTCTCTAAACGGACACTTACTAATTTTCCTGTGGGAGTTTCCAGGTGTGGCAGTAGAGCATTTCCGATCCTCTCCAGTAGCTTTTCCCTTTGAGAGCTGAGAATTGAAGGAGGTACAGCAGATCAACAGCAGCTCAGAACCTCAAAGTCACGGAACCCCTCATATTAAATAGGAAAAAAAGAAGAGTTTGGGAAACAAAAATTAAGTCAGAAATCAAACAAATATTAGCAAAACACTGTTTTCTTAAAAAAAAAAGAAAGAAAAAGAAAGAAAAGAAAGAAGAAACAAAAAGTTTCCAAGTAAATGATCAAGTCACAAGGAAAAAGATTTCTTGTTTTTTTTTTTGTTTTTTTTTTTTTGCTTTGGGTCACACCTGGTGATCCACAGAAATTACTCCTGGCTCTGCACTCAGGAGTCACTCCTGGTGGTGCTTAGGGGACCACATGGGATGCTGGGAATCGAACCCAGGTCGGCCGCGTGCAAGGCAAATGCCCGCTGTGCTATCGCTCCAGCCCCAGGGAAAAGATTTCTTGAGGGGTCATTCGCCTTGCTCAAGCTCATTGAAAAGGGAATCTCTTTCAGACTCAGTGTGGACTGCTCACAGAACAGCCTGAGCAAGAGAAAGATGACCTCCTGCTCTAGTTAAGAGGTCAGAATGACTTGGGCCTGAAGCTGTGGTTCTTAATTAGGAATCTGCTTGTAAGGGACTCAAGCTATGTCTCTCTCTCCAGAACTAGAAAATACCAGGCTTAGTTTCGGTGCATAACAGGTCAGTTTTAGGACAAATACTGGAGATATTAAACAGCATCTCATATTCCTGGTGGGGAGAAAGAAGAACCAAGTGTAGTCAGTACCTGGCCTTACAGTGGCTACTTAGGAGACCACTCTACCAATCTTAAGAATAAAACATTTCCTGCTAGAGAAACTCTTCCTGGAGTATCTTCACACCATTTTAGCTGACAATTCAAAAGCAAAACCGAATGACCTTTGTGACTAGTTTTTGTTGTAGACTGTGAGGAGGGGCAAAGTTTTGTTTGTTTTGTTTTTGATATAGTATCTTTATTATCTAGTTACCCAGTAAACACTAGATAATAAAGATACTATATCAAAAACAAATATATATATATATATTATTAGTTTATTAGTGAATCACTATGAGGTATTGTTACAGACTTACAAACTTTCATACTTGCATTTCAGCCATACAATGATCGAGTACCCATCCCTCCAGGGTCAAGGTTTTTTGTTTGTTTGTTTGTTTTGACAGTGGAAGGACTGAACCCAGGATCTTACACATGGAAGAAAGCATTTTCTTTTTTTCTTTCTTTTTTTTTTAATATTTTGTCTTTCCTTTATTTTAAAATTTTTATTAGTGAAACACCATGAGGTACAGTTGTAGACTGTGCTTGGGTTTCAATTATATAATGATCACGTACCCATCCCTCCACCAGTGCCCATTTTCCACCACCACGGATCCCAGTATCCCTCCCAACCCCCAACCCCCTCATCCCACCCTGCCTCTGTGACAGGGCATTCCCCCTTGTTCTCTCTCTCTCTTCTTTTGGGTCCTGTGTTTTGCAAGAGAGGCACTGAGTGGCAATCATGTTTGGTCTATAGTCTACTTTCAGTATGCTTCTCCCATCCTGGGAGGATCCTCCCAACACCCTTTATTTGGTGCTCTCTTCCCTATCTGAGCTGCCTTTTCCCCTCACATGTGCGGCTGGCCTCCAAGCCATGGAGTAAACCTCCTGGTACTTATCTCGGCTATTCTTGGGTGTTAGTCTCCTATTTTGTTACTTTGAGTTCCTCAGATGAATGCAATCTTTCTATGTCTGTTCCTATCTTTCTGACTCATTTCACTTAGATTGATACTGAAGAAAGCATTTTCAACCGAGCCAGATTCCACGTCCTCGCGTGGACCTTCAACACAGCTACTTACTGCACCAGGAGCTAAAAGCTCCAAATTCAAGATCAAGTTCTGTAATTTCAGTTGCAAATTTTAGTTGCAAACTGAAGCAAATCATTTAAACTCTGAACAAAGACTTATTTTTTTAATCTATAAAACTGATATGACAGCTAAACACATCATAAAAAGTGCAAAGAGATGATGGACATGAAAAAGGATCATGTACTATAAATGGGTTTTAAGGCCGCCATGATTTTTATTATGTTCAATGGATACAGTCAAGATGATTTCACTTACCTTAAACAGAATGTACAGTATATATAAAAAAATCCCAAAACCATAGATTGGGATAATCTGTCCCATCAAGCCTCTTCTACTACCTCCTCCTCCAGTGCCTCCACCGGATCCTTTGGCCTTTGCAAAGGCTTCTGCAAGGTGAGACCTCTGGAAACGAGCCCCGGGGTTCTGGCCATCTGGGGGGGCCTGGTGTTGATGCATCATAGGTGGAAATCGACCCAATTTGCCTGAGAAAATAAATTAATCAGTATTTCTTCTATTAAAATGTGCCTATTATGAAAACAACTCATGTATTAAAGTATAAATAATAAAAGCCAGCTCATTAGGCAACCTCAAGTTGTTCACCAAATCCTTTTCCCTTTTTTGGGGATCAACAACTTCCTTCCTTCCTTCCTTCCTTCCTTCCTTCCTTCCTTCCTTCCTCCTTCTTCCCTCCCTCCCTCTCTCCTTCCCTCCCTCCCTTTCTTCCTTCCCCTTCTTCCCTCCCTCATTCCCTTTTTTCCTCCCCCTTCCCTTTGGGCTCAGGATTTATTCCTGGTTCTGTGCTCAGGGGTCACTCAGGTGATGTTCAGGGAACCATATATAACTAAGGTCAAGGATCAAACTGGAGTCACCTGCATGCAAGGCAAGCACCAAAATCCCTTTATTATCTCTCCAGCCTGAGATGGCATTTTTCAATTTCCTGAAAAAGGCAAATGTGACCATATGATTGAGTTCTGGTTAAAAGAATGTAATATGTGCTTGGCTTATACACCTTCCCATGTACTGAACTCCATGGTCAGTTCCCTTCTGCAGGCTGAAGCTGATTCTGAAACCTTAGCAATGTGTTGGAATGGGTCAGCCTCCATTTTCAGGGCTCCTGAATAATTGTGGCAGAGCTTTCCATTGCTACCACCCCCACTCCCAACTTAAAAGTGTTTGGACTCTTTTATAGAGGGGTTGTATACCCGGTGGTGGTCAGCATTTATCCCTGGCTCTGTGCTCAAGGATCATGCCAGGGGACCATATGGGAAGTTGGAGACCAAGTCCAGTTCAGCCATGTGCAAGACAAGTGCCTTACACAGCATGATCTGTGTAAGATTACATACCATTCGCTACACTGTTGCTCCAGCCCCAGAACTATTCAGATCTTCATACAAATTTATGTGTATAAGAAATAAACCTGTGGGGCTGGAGCCATAGCACAGCGGGTAGGGCATTTGCTTTGCACACTACCGACCCGGGTTCGATTCCCAGCATCCCATATAGTCCCCCGAGCACCGCCAGGAGTAATTCCTGAGTGCAGAGCCAGGAGTAACGCCTGAGCATCACTGGGTGTGACCCAAAAAGAAAAAAAAAAGAAACCTGTACTGTTTTGTGACCATTATACATGTTGCAGACTATTATGGAAATTTGTCACCACTAATACAGATGAAAATAGAAATGGAAGGTCACCAGAATGTGAGGCAGCTAATCTCACACCTGAGCTCAGTGTTTCTCTCTTTCTATGGGCCATGAGCTTTCCCCCATCCAATCCCACGTGTCTATCTTCTTCATTCTTCTCTCCGTACACCATTTCTATGATTTATTTGTGAATATGAAGAGAAAAAGCTATACCTTTAACCCCTCAATTCTTGAAGAGGCCAACAAAAAATGGTCATAATTATAAGTTTTTTGAAGGAAGATTTTGAATATAAGCAAACTCTCACATAGCACCAACAGGGCCACAAGTGCATGACAGAGCAGGACTTAAAGAAAGGAGGGAACTGGTATTAGTACAGGGGTGATAATGCATGCCTGGGAGTATATTATAGAAGTTAAGGTTAAGACACTTGTCTTGGGGCCGGAACAATAGTACAATGGGTAGGGCGTTTGCCTTGCACGTGGCCAACCCAGGTTCAATCCCCAGCATCCCATATGGTCCCTGAAGCACTGCCAGGAGTAACCCCTGAGCATCACTGGGTGTGACCCAAAAGGCAGAAGAAAACAAAAAAGACACTTGCCTTGCATTCACCCTACCCTGCTTAATCCCCTGAGCAGAGCCAGGAATAAGCCCTGAGCACTGTTGGATGTGGCCCAAAAACTAAAATAAAATAAATAAATAAATGCAACAGCACTTATACCTACAAAAAGGGGTAACAATGAAAATGATGGATAATAACAAGAGTTAGTAAAGTTGTGAATCCGTGAGCACCCTCATGTACTGTGGATAAGAGAATATGCTCAAATAAGTGGGTAAGAAGAGTGATTTACATAGGAAGAGATTATGATTATAGAATGACTGACTATACATTTCCACATATTTGTTTTCAGGTAGAGCTGGCACATTCAGAGGCATTTTTTCCTAAACAGACTTTAGTTAGTGGGATTTTGATTTTTGTTTTAGGTTGTGTGGTTAGGTTTAAGAAACTCAAAATCAAAAATCCAGTTTAAACTGGATGAATGACACAATAGCCAAAATCTGGAAACATTCAATATCCAAAAACAAATGACTAGCTAAAGAAATAGATGACCAGCTATACATACACAATGGAATACTACTCAGCCATAAGAAAAAAAATAAAATCATGCCACTTGCTGCTACATGGATGGGACTCGAAGGTATCATGCTGATTGAAGCCATCCAAAAGGACAGAGACAGATACAGAATGATCTCTCCTATGTGAGATATAAAGAGACATAGTAAGAGAAAAACAAATGGCCAAAGGCAACAGAACCTGAGAACTGGTCCACAGAACTGAGCTTATCAAGGTGGTAGAGGTGGTGAGCTGGGAGGGGGCGGTGAGCTGCAAACCCTGGTGGAGGGTTTGATGCTGAAATATTGCATGCATAACAGTATCGTAAATCAAGGTGCCTAAAGTAATAAACAGTAAAAAACAAAATCTATAAACCGTGAATGGTTTCCATGCCAATAAGGCTGGAGGCGTATGTGTGCATATTGGTATAAGAAGAAGGAACCTGAGCAGACCAAAGAGGACCTGAACAAAAACAGGAAAAAAAAAATTTATCAACGACATAAAAGGTTTTTAGGATAAAACTGAAAGCAATGCAAAAGTCTTAAAGAAACTGAAAAAAAAAAAAAGAAAAGAAAAAGAAAAGACTACCAGCAACCTGTTTTTAGACACCATGTATTCTTGGGGAAAGGAATGGCCGTCCCAAGAAATTCTGGGTGTTCACCTGTTTGAGGCAGTAGCAAAAACTAATGCACTATTAAGCATAACAAGATATGAGTCAGAAGGAACCTTAAGCATGGCGGGGTGGGGGGGAAGCGGTAGGGGGGAATACAGAAGGTAGGATATGTGCCCTGCGCACAACTACCTGAGTTTTATCAATCCCCAATATTCCAAAATGGTGCACTGAGTACCTTTAGGAGTAATTCCTGAGTGCAGAGCCAGGAGTAAACCTGAGCATCAGCAGGTGTGGCCCAGCACCCTCCCACAAAAAAAGGAGCCTTAAAACACATTTCAACAAAGAGTGTAGAGATAATTTTATATCATCATGCAAAATAAAGGCATTAGACCCCTACCTCAAACCATAGTCCGTCTTTTAAAAATTAATTCAAAAGTGGGTTAAAACCTAAATGTGGGGCTGAAGTGATAGCACAGTGGGTAGGGCATTTGCCTTGCACGTGGCCAACCCGGGTTCGAATCCCAGTATCCCATATGGTCCCCTGAGTACTTCCAGGAGTAACTCTTGAGTGCAGAGCCAGGAGAAACCCCTGTGCATAGCCAGGTGTGACCCCAAAAGCAACAACAACAGCAACAAAAAACCTAAATGTAAAAACTGAAACTATGAGCCTTATAGAAGAAAAGATATAAAATTCCATTATTTTCAACTGGGCAACAGTTTCTTAGATAAGACACTAAAATCAAAAGTAAAGAAACAATACATATATACATACATATACACACACATATATATAAATAAGTTAGACTTTACAAGTTTTAAAACATCTGTGCTACAAAGAATACCATTACAAAAATGACCACAAGCTAATGAACATGAAAAATATTTACAAATCATATCTAATTAGGGTATAATGTCCAAATTTATAATAACTCTTGCCATTTTATAAAACAAATCAAAGAATCTAATTAAAAATAGGGAAAATGGGCTAGAGAGATAGTATAGTGGATAGGGCACTTGCCTTGAAAGCAACCAACCTGGATTCAATTCTCAGCACCACATAAGGTCCTCTAGGGTCCATCAGGAGTGATCCCTGAGCACAGAGCCAGTAACTGTCACTATCACTGTCCTCCTGTTGTTCATCGATTTGCTCGAGCGGGCCCAGTAACGTCTCCATTGTGAGACTTCTTGTTACTGTGTTTGGCATATTGAAGAAAAGGATAGCATAGCGGTAGGGTGTTTGCCTTGTGCACAGCCAGCCCGGCCGAGCCAGGTTCGATTCCTCTGCCCCTCTTGGAGAGCCTGGCAAGCTACCGAGAGTATTCAATATGCCAGAGTCAGTAACAGGCCCTGATTATTGCCACGTATGGCCCAAACCATGCCCCCATCCCCCCAAAACGGAGTAAACCTAGTAGGCATTTCTCTAAAGATATTTGTGGTCAATAAGCACATGAAAATATATTCAACACTATTAGCCATCAAGGAAACGCAAATTAAACCCACAGTGGGATACCACTTGACACCCACCAGGATGCTTATAATCAAAAAGACAGACAATAAAAACTATTGGCAGGGATGGAGAAAATGGAATCCTGATAGACTGCTGGTGATAATGAAAAGTTCAGTCACTTTTTAAAAGTCTGGCAGTTCCTCAAAAGGGAAAGCAAAATTTTCATATAACCTATCAATTCTATTCTTAGGTGTATATCAAAGAGAAATATACTCGCAAAAGGTTCTATACACACATTCACACAGAATAGTCATAATAGTTAAATGTCTGACCACTGACAGGTAAACAAAATGGGGTATATACAATGGAATAGTACCTGGCCATAAAAGGAATGAACAATCTACAGTATGAATGCACTTTAAAAATATTATGCAAATAAAAAACTAGTCATATATGACTACAATTATATGATTCCATTAATATGAAGTGTCCAGAACGGGCAAATCTACAGAACAAGTATCAGTGGGTTGCTAATGGCTGGGAAGGGGATGGAAAAGAGTGACTCCTCTGAAAACAGGCGTAGGGATTTTGGTTTCCTTTATTTTTTTTAAAGAAGGGAGATATAGTAGTCATGTAGTAAGAAATAAAGAAATCTTGAAAAGACATCAATAA